ACTGGCAGAGGGGCATAGGGAGCTCCATAGGGAACAGCCATCCTCTCCTGGGAGAAGCAAGGACCATTCCAGGAGCTCTGCAAAGGTTGGCTTTGGCCTCAGCCATGTAGAGAAGATGCTGGAGAAAGGGCAGAAATAGGGAGAGACGAGGCAGCAAACTCATTAAGGACCTCCTACCCTCCTCCACCCCATCTGTCCACTCAGTTTTTTCTTTAGTTCTCTGCTCAGTTTGGGCTGAGAAGCACTAGCCCATACTGCCTTTCTCTCTACGTTGTTCTAAGCTTTTTGTTAAACCAGTTCTGGGCTCAGTTTACCCATCCACACAATGGAGTCCTAACAGGGAAGTCCCCCAAGCTGCACTCTACCCCCAACCTGCACCTCCACCCCACCATGTGACCACTTCCATTTTCACACTGCTTTTTATTAAGATGATAATCAAATGCAATCTCTCTTGGGGAAAGCCTAGGTTCTAGTTTGGCATGGACACATCTGAGATCTTGAGTAAGTCATGTGCTCCTTCTTTAGCTCTAAGGAAGCCCTACATACACTGACAATGTTTCTCTTTATTCCTATTATTGAGAACTCATGTGAGCACTGAGATGAGAGTCTTGGTTCTCCCAGAGAGTTGCTATGTGATCCTGGGAAGAACGCTTCCCCAATCTGAAGGTCTGGCCCCATTCTTCATGGTACCTGCTCTCTGTTTGAACTGCTTTTCATCAAGGCCATTCCTGCCATTCCCTGCGCCCCCCCCACCACCAGTTACCTTGTCATGCCAACCCTACCTAGGAGTCAGCACTTCTCAGGAACAGAATGAGCACAGAAACCAAGTTCTCCAGAAAGGTGTGTGTGTTTGGGACGGGAAAGGATTCATTAGGGCGCCGAGTATCTTGCGCTGTCCAAGGGGCACTTAAAATGTTCTACTAGAGGATCCCTCAGCCCAGACAGGTTCAGAGATTGGGGCCCTTTTGGCTGGCTATTATGTCCTGAGAAGAGAGCTTTGTTTTTCTCCTAAATCCCCAGCAACCCCAGAATTGGGTCTAGAGCCAAGAGATCAGAGGCCAAGTTTATGCCATGCTTGGGCAAATGACTGCTGCTTAGGAATGGTACGGAGACTTGAATCCAAAGGTCGCCAACGTGCCTCAGCTAGGAGTCAGAAACCAGGGTTCCTGCCCAGCTTTCAAGATGCTTTCAGATACACTTATTGAATGTCATTATCACAGTCACCGTAAAGCTGGGAACACGAGGTGAGATGTATTCTAAGAGCTAGGATTCCAAGACTCAGAAAGTATACCTTAGGGAGGAGGTGAAGTGCTCCGCCCACCTCAGTCCTGTGCCCCTGCACAGACCTCTCTCCTCTCTGCAGCCAGAGCCATAAGGTAGCACTGTATCGTCGGTTGGTGTTCTTGGTCAGAAACAGGAGGCTCCTAGAAGTTATTCTGGAGTCTCTGATCTCAACAATGGAACAAGTTTTTATTTTGTTTTTGTTTATTCCTTTTTCTAAAGTTCTGCGTCTTTAATCAGGGCATATGAATCACCTGAGGGTCTCGTTGAAGTGCAGGTTCTGGTCCAATAAGTCTGTATTTCTAGCCAGCTCCCAGGGGATGCCTATGGGAGTTGCAAAGCCTCAGGGCTTCAGTCTCTTGTGTAAAAACCAGCTGGGAGAGTGGGCTTCCGCTCTAAGCCTCCCTCCAAGCCTCTCTCCTGGCCCTGAGAAAAGTATATATCCTGGATTGAAATAACCAAGAAAATAGGAGTTAGAGAATGTCAGGGTGAAAGGGGACCTGCCACCTAATTTTGTAGATGGTGAAACTGAGGCCTACCTAGTGAAGGAAGGAACTTGTTCAAGATCTCACAGCATTTCAGTGACAAAGTTCAGAATTCAGGCCTCCTACGGAGGAAAAACAAAAACAAAAACTAGAAAAAATACTGAGGTGTTTGCCGTGCTTTCTCTAGATGAACCATGGGTTCCTCTGATTTTTTTTTCTAACTTGTATTTTTAAAATAATGAACATGTGCCAATTTCATAATATGAAAATTAATTTTAATAAAAAAATTCTCACAAGGTTCTTAGTAAATAAGATTGTGTTTATGAGTGTGCTGGGTAAACTACATACAGTAGCTTCATGTCATGGGTGTTTAGTTCAGCTGGGTGTTTAATCGCCCGAATTCATTTCAAGAAATGAATTACCCTTACTCTTCTGGGCGCACGAATCACCGAGATTAGGAGCGCTAACGCCTTCACCATCAACCACCACCTCAAGAAGCTTCCTGCCCCTTCACCTCTGCGGCTGGGACAAGAATCTTACCCCTTAAATTGGGGAAGAAGGTGCCCTAAACCGTTTTCGTAGTAAACGACCTCGGGCCAATCCCGCTTTTGTTGCTGGTTTCCTAAGCTTAATTGCAAGCAAAGTTAGTTTGAAAGAAAATAAATGTTACAGCTCTGGGGCGAATTCTAACGAGCCTTGGGCAATTAGGGAAGAACGCATCTAATTATTC